AATGCAATATAAAAGAGGATCCGGGGGCTTGAAGTTGGGGGGCTTACTTTCAAGGTAGATTTTTTTTAAAGGTCTTACTTAAAAACACCTTCACAGAGTTGAGTTATTTTAGACGTATAGCATAATTATAACAATCCAACGCAGTGCTATTTCTACCTCTCCAACTCACCCCTCTCCCACCTTACAAGCGCACACAAACATACTATCTATCAATCTATCTATCTAACCTATACAGACACACTTAACGTATTCTATACTGGAATTATCATCTATTGACAGAGGAGCAATATACACTTACACACTTACACACATTCAAACATTCACAAACACACACACACACACACACACACACACACACACACACACACGTCTACGCACACGAACACACACACACACACACACACACACAAACACACACATTATTGGCTCAACGGGGTTTGGAGTATAATTTAGTGATGTTTAGAAGGTAAAGCCTTCTCGAGGCAGCAATTAACTCAGACTTTGTATAAAAGCACACACACATATTCAGAAACAGAAAAGACGTAAATTCAGACCTGTGCATGTACTAGCATTGTTAAGAACATCCATAAATGTGTTCACAAACACCCAGAAAAAACAAAGTTGACATATAAACACAGTCAAACATAAAATGCAATATACATATATCATACATAACGTAGTATGAAACAATAAATGATAATAAACAGCTTTTGTATAGCGCAAATTTCCGCTCAACAGCAAACTCTATGCGTTTTACAATCTATATGTTTATCCCTGCAGACCTGATAATATTCTGCAACAATCTCAACTTCCTGGGACGCATACAGTGCGATATATAATATACACGATTACTATCGATGGATCAGCGAAAACAACAGATGGTAATATGGTAAAAAACGCACCCCCCCCTCCCCTCCTAAAAAAACCTCGCCCCCAAAACAACAACAACAACAAAGGGGTATCCCTTACGAAAACATATTTGCAACTAAGTATAACCTGTCGAGGAGTAAATAATGGACTGACTTATCGATTTCTCCATTCGCTCATTATATGTGTTTATCTTTGTACTTATTTATTAGAATATTTCTTTACTGATTTATTCATAATTTCTGAGCGGTTAGGATTCCCTTTCATTTTGATTGATGTCTGCAACATGTTGAACAAGATTCACATACTTCAGTTTTAGGTTTTGGGGAGTAAGGTTCAGGCCAGAGATTGAAAATGAAGACTCCCGAGATGCACACGACGTGTTGCTCATCGTCTCAGATAACGAGACAGATCTCGCCAGAACAGTGTGTGTGTTTGTGTGTGTGTGTGTGTGTGTGTGTG